TTGTCCTGGATTCTTGGGAGCTTCACTATTATGTGTCTTGCTGTATTTTTCCTTTCGTCATGGAGGTTTGGTGTTCTTCTTGCTTCTTGTATAGCAATTTTCAGCTCCTTCTTCACATTTGGGAAGTTCTCTTCAATTATCTCCTTGAATATTTTCTCTGTTCCTACATCTCTCTCCTCTCCTTCTGGTATTCCTATAACTCTTATATTTCCTTTCCTCATGGAGTCAGATAGTTCCTGAAGTCTTTCTTCGTTCTTTTTCCTTCGTACTTCTCTTTCCTTTTCTGTTTTGGTTCTTTTTATTTCTGCGTCTTCAAGAGTACTTATTCATTCTTCCATTTCATCTATTCTGCTTTCATTGCCTTTCCCAGATTTCTTTAGTGCCTCCATTAATTCTTTGATCTCTTGCATTTCTTTTACTTCCCTCTTTAGGGACTCAATTTCATTCTTCTGATTGTTGATTATTTTTCCCTTATCGTTGTTTTCCTTTATGACTTCTGTCATTTTTTTAATCATGGCAATTTTAAATTCTCTTTCTGGAAGGCTCAGAAGTTCTTCCAAGTTACTGTCGTTGCAATCTGGGGGGTCGTTTTCTTTATGTGGTGTGCTTTTTTCCTGAGGAGTTGCTAGGTTGCGTGTGGTTCTTCTACTCTCTACTGTCTGTTTTCTAATTTGCTGTATGCATTGGGACACTGTGTTGCTGGGACTGGCCGGCATCTTGGGTGAACTTCTCCACTCCCCTCTGGCTTCTCCGGGAGCCATCTGTCGGTTTCAAGCAGTCTTTTCTGTAGAAAGGTCCCTGTTCTAAAATGCCAATGCGGGGACTCACTCCCCTGCACGCCTGGTCTGCCCCAGCGGTGGGTTTCCGCTCCCCCTCTGGGCTTGCGCTGCAGGCCAGAAGGGGCCTGGCGTGGGCAAACTTCCCAACTCACCTCTGGCTCCTCCAGGAGCCTTCTGATGGTTTCAGGCAGTCTTTACTGAAGAAATGTCCCTGTTCTAAACTGGCGATGTGGGACGCACTCCCTGCGTGCCTGGTCTGCCCCGGCCGTGGGTGCCCGCTCCCCTTCTGGGCTTGGACTGCTGGTCAGAAGGGGCCTGGTGTTGGTGAACTTCCCAGCTCACCTCTGGCTCCTCAGGGAGCCTTCTGCTGGTTTCAAGCAGTCTTTCTGAAGAAAGACTGTTCTATGGGGTATTGGTGATTTTTTTTTCTGTTTGCTAGGTGGCGCCAGAGATCTCTCCTTGTGTCCTTGGGGAGCTATTTTTTTCACCCCGTGGGACGGGAAACTGGGTGGCAGTGGTGGGGAAAGCCTCAACGGCTTTGGGGTGCTGTGTCTGCCTTGTGCCCCACCATCGCGGGGAACCCATGCCCCAAATTACATGCCCTGGGTCTCAGTTCCAAAGCCCTCAGGACCAGGACGTTAGCTGTAGCCCAGTTCAGTGTCGGCAGAAATGGCGCCTTTTGCACCCGGGTCCCGTGTCCGGGCGCCTGGTTTCTGATTACTCAGTGAGGGACATTCACCTCAGTGAGGGCCCCCGCGCGTCTCCCTGCAAGCCTAGGCTGCAGGCATGGGGACCTGGGCAGCCGTGATGCGCGCTTGCTTTTCAAGCGGGCTGCTTTTCTGCACAAGCTTACGGCTGGACTGGGGCTGTTTGTAGGTCTCCGGGAGTCTTTGTTTTTCTCTAATGGTGCCTGGAGCTGTTCGCTCACCTCCGCGGGGAATACTGCAGGGTTCTCCACAGCTCCAGTTCACGGGGTGTGGTGGCTGAAATAGTTCCTTTCCACTCACAGTCCTGCTTGATGTGTAGTTTGCTCTTGTTGGTTGTTTTAATTTTTTTGTTTTTGTTTTTTTCTTCCTTTCTGTTGGTCAGAGAGTGCCGACTTTGTGGGTGGGGGAGGGTACCAGTGTTCTGAGCTTTCCTCCCTTCTAGTCCTCTTTTATGGCAACTTTCTTCTTCGGGTAGTTTGCTGGAGTCATCCGTTTATCTTCTGTGTCCCAGTTCTCACTGGGACCTGCCGCTTTTCCTCCCTATTAACTTTTTTTTAATGGCAGATCTTACTCGCAGCGTTTCCTCGCCGCCATGTTGATCACCACCTTCCGTATATATTTTAGGATTTCTTTCTTAATGTGATTTGGTGTTGATAAAATCTTTGACATTTTGCTTTTCAGTGAAATGCGTTATTCTCCATCTTGTTGATTATGGATTGGAGGTCTTTTTAAGTTCTCTGAATCTCTCTTTGCAGTCCTTTTCTGTTGAAAAATCTGCTGATAGTCTGATTGCTGTTCTCTTATTATATGTTGCCCTTTTTTCTCTTGATATTTTGAGTATTTTGTCTTTAGCATTGGTGATTGGCAACTTTTTTATTTTGTCTTTGTGTATGTCTATCTGGTATTATTTTCTTTGCAACTCTTTGGGCCACTTGGATCCTAACTTCTGGTTCATCCTAACTTCTGGTGAGATGGTTTTCAGCGATCTTTTTTTTTAGTTTTTTTAAAAAAAGATTTATTTTTATTTATTTATGTATACAAGAGCTGGGGTATAGGACAAGGTGTGTGTGGGGGGGGGGCGGTGAGAAGATTCACTTGAGAGTGGGGAGAAGAGGTGGATTGACTGAAATACACAACTTAGGGGAGCAGCAGGCAAGACAGGAGAGGTCTGCTGCACCATGTGGGTTAGCTCCATGGCTGGGAATCGACCTTATGCTGCAGTGGTGGCCGATAGCTTCATAGTGCTGAGACTTGACCCCTTGCACCACCAGGGAGTGATTAATTCTGAATAGGTTTTCTATGCCTTTCTTTTTCTTCTCCTTTTGAGATCCCCATGTTGCAGATGTAATTTCTCTTGAAGTTGTCCCAGAGAGCTCTTATATTTTCATTTTTAATGAAAACTGTTTTGTCCTTTTGTTCTCTAGTATTAAGTTCATTAATTCTGTCCCTCGCTTGTTTGCCTGCTATGAAGGCACTTAATTGTATTTTTAAAATCAGCTATAGCATTAAACTCCATATTTCTAATCACCTGTTTTCATTACCTTTGTTTTTTTTTTTTATATCCTCCGTTATTTTATTAAGTCCATCAGCATTACTAGAACCCTTTCCCTGAAATTCCCTTCTGTCATGCTCAGCAACTTCAGTCATGGATGCCTTCAATGATTTTTTATTCTGGCATTTGTGTTGTGTCCCTCTGTCTCATTGTGTCAGTAAGGATATTAAACTGTTTTCTGTACTTGTAGTACTTGTGGGACTGGTACCAATGAGGGGAAGTGGCTTAAATGAGGATCAGGGCAATAGGCATCAAAGGATTACCACCAGTAGGCTCAGGAATTTGAGATTCCTGTTGTAAAGCATTTCTTTGTGTGTTTTTGGGGTGGGAGGGAAAGACAGCAAGTGTTCTAGATATCCCAGACGGAATAAAGGATAGAAGGTTTATGGCATGTCTAAGCCTGTAATAGGAGGTGGCAGGTATCTCAGTCTGGACTCTAGTAGTCTTTTTTTCTATAAGGAACCAGGTGCTCTGACCTGATTCCAGTTACAGCTGTTCTGTACTGAACCTGATTCAAGACAGTAGGCCTCACTTTGTAACTCTTCTGCAATGCACCCTGTTCTGCAGTCCCAGGTCTTGGGAGTGCCAGTGTTGGCATGTAAGTCAGTAGTACCACAGCCACAACACCATCTTGTGTGTTGTGGTAGCCCATTACTACTTTAATCAAAGTTCACTTAGTTTTTCTCTACCTCTTTTAGTCAGGTTGATGCTCCTATTGGGAGTGATAATGTTTGTCCCCGGGCAGGGGCAGGGGGTGGGGAGGAGGGGAGGGGCCGGTTAGCTTTGTTTTGCATCAGTTTTGTTGTGCAAGTCTGAAGGTGGGTCTGGTGTCTTCACTCTGCCACCATATTTCCCTGTTTTGATCAGTTGAAATGAACCATTTTGACACAGAAATCACAAAGGAAAAACCCTCAGAGAGGGAATATATATATATATATATAATATAAAAATATTAAAATTGGCATTTCTCAAATATAAGCCCAAAGTACAAGAAAAATATCTTTCAGGAATTAGAAAGCCAGGCCAAAATTCCTGACTGAAGGAGTGGGTCCCCTAGATGATTCAAGTCTCCAAGAGAAGAATGAAGTCACTGTATCTTCAGAGACACAATGCAAAATCTTTTGGAATCCCATTTAATACTAACTTGAGTCTACATAATACAGTTTTCTGTATGTGTGTGTGTGTGTGTGTGTGTGTTTGTACCCTCACAGATGGACCAAGAGAGACAGAACCAAGTTCGTATTTGCAGAATGTGTACGATAAATTACTGACCTCCCTCTGTTCTGTAACTGCTGGTTCAGGTAGTTAAATTCCAAGGCAAAAAAGAGGTCTACACTTTGCTACTTGACTACTCCTGTGCTGTGGCAGCTAGGCCATATGATTTAATGCATTGTAATTCTGGGGCACAGATAAAGTTAATTAGGTAGTAAGCATTTCATAGTGAAAAATACATCAAACCAACACTGGTTAACATATTTTAACTTAGGCCTTTGGAAACTTGATTTTGAAAATCCGAAATAAATGAAGGTCCCTATTTAAAAAAAAAAAAATCAACTGTAGCAAACAAAAGGAATATGCTATTACCATAAACATACACTTTGCCAAGAATCATTAATTCAGAAATGTGAGACGCAACAAATTTGTGAAAAATTCAAAAACATCAGGAAAAATGCATACTTTTTCTGCCTTGTTTTCTAAAATCACCTATCTATTTCATTACTGTCACCATATTTTATAGTGGCTTTAATCATATTTGAACTGGTTAAGAAATCCTAAAGATGACCTAAACCCAGTGGAAAGAACGCAGGAAAAAGCTATGTGTCTAATATAGTTTTCTTTTCATCAAACTCCTTTTCTGCTCAAACTATTATTATTTTTAAGATTTCTTGAATTTTCTCTAAAATCACTGAAATAAGAGCCAATAGTTTCACTTCATCATGGAGTATGAAGAACTATAGTAATAGCTTTCATTAGTAAATGGGGGTAGATTCTATAACAACAAATCTTGATCATTTATTTTACTTGTTACCTGTTACTATATTATAGGTGTCCCTTTCAAGCTATTTATAGCTTGCTTTAAGGAGTAGATTAGCAATGTGCAAGCAACAGTATTTGATATATGATACAAATATCATTCCTGATGCCAAATAATGACAGAAACTTCTCACACCTTTAGAGAATTTTTTACTAGAGAATTTCAAAGCAATCAATGCCTCACTTTCTATAACTGGAGAAACACAACAGTTATGAAATTGGATGGCAACAACTCAAAAATGGAGTGAACAAAAGGTGGATACACAGGATAAGCAACTTTAGTCTCAGGAGTAAGAACCTACAATTGATCCCCATTGGAAAATACACCCTATGCAATGCAAAAAGTAAAGGGAAATTGTTTTAGAAGAGTTTCTTGGGCATAATCTCAAGTGGTTAAAAAAATAAGGAAAAAATAAAGAAATCGGAAATATTTTAGCATTTAATTTCTGCAAAAATGTAAATTATTTAATAAAGAAGCTAAAACATGTTGTGTTTAAGATTTAAAATCTATTGTTAATTACAGTCACCCTTGTGTCAGAAGACAAGCCAACCTGCCAGTCAGCAGAGCACCTGCTCCCTCCCTCACTACTTCACGTTCCCCGAGAGAGTCCAGTTATAGCATATTAATTAAAAAAGTGTTCCAATATAGTGATTCAAATATGAAATGTTTTCCCTTTAAAGTATTCTCTAAATTTGGGCAAACTAAGTACTTCATACAAAAATCCTGCCAAATAGACACGATCCCCCCAGGATTGTTTCTGCAAATCCCTCTGACATCTGACATCCTTTTGCCTATCAGATAAATCAAAGCAATTACAATCTAGAAGACCCTTCTCTCTTCCAAATAGCCTTTTTTTCAAGGGTTAGAACTGATAAAAAAAAGTAATTAAGAATAAAAGCAAACAGAGGGGTAGATCCTCAAACACACATACAAATCATAGCAGCTTTTATACTTGACAATGGCTAAAATCTCATTCTAAACAGATAATTTGCTGTTAAATTTCTAGCAAATTTGCTATTAAAAATTCAAATACAATATTCATGCAAGGAGATTACAATAAGGGAAAATGCAGTAGCTACAATTTTTAAATTTATTCCACAATGAAATCTTCAGTAATTCTGAAATGAAGATGTCGGTAAGGAGCCCTAGTTTGTGAAGATGAAGGCCCCACCAGGTGCCCAGGAGCTTGAGCAAGCTCTATGATGACCTGATACCATTTTCCATCCTCCCAAAGCTGTATCTACCTGAGAACCACAAGCATAAGATGCTACTTAAGAATATTCGAATTCAACAATGAAGTTAAAGTATATTCTTTTCACTTTTGCTCCAAATAATTAGCTTGAAGAGGATATAAAGGATTCACAGGCGGGTTTATGTCCCAGGAGAAAAAGTACTATGACCAAATATGTGTGCTTTGAAAAATGTAATTATGACAAGTTTCCGGTACAAATCATTTTAAAAGGATCAATTTTTTCATTAATATATAACCAATACATCTTATTTATATATATATGAAAATTTTTATTCAGCTATCTTCATATAAAGTCTATATTTTAAGTGGTATATAACTGTTACATACTGTTTTCATCTCTTATTCACAGGCAGTTTTGGTAAGTTTGTCTCTACACTGAGAACTGAATATAGTTAAAACCTCTATGAATAACCTAGTGTTAACATCTTGTCTAGGGCCATATGGGTTATTCAAGGAGTCAACTGCCTTGTCTGCATAAATTATAGCTTCAATAAAACATAAAACAAGTATGATTCTGAAGCTTAATGATGCTATTGATGTGAAAGACAATGGGTTCATATCTTCCTTTCCAAAAAACACTGATTTTTTAGTAATATTTAACTTTTAAAAGGTAGTTCTTTAACCCTCAGACAACTGATAAATTTGGACAACCAAAAAAAAAAAATTCAGAAACATATATTTTTGTCCGTAGTCTCTAAAGGGTTAAAGTGCAGGAATTTCTCATAACCTGTTATATAATAAGGCACACTACTCTATTTTTTTCTTAAAAGAAACTTTTCCTTTGGTTTCTTGTAACTTTTCGGTGAGCCTATCTTTTGTTTCTTCCATTTTCTCTGTGAGAAGCTCCTTTGTCTCCTCCATCCTGTCCTGTAGATACTCCTTAACTGGAGGTGGTGTTGACATGTAGCCACGACTACGTAAATACTTCACAGTGAAAGAGGTTCCTCCCAAAGTCACAGTATATCGGGCAGGCGTTGCAATCTAAAGAGAGTAAACAGGGGCAGATCAACACCTGATCATGACTATCATCTTAAGCAAAAAACAATTTCAAATTATTATTTGATTATTACCAACAGTATAAATGACTATTATTTCACAAGGCTGAGTAGTTTTATCCTATATGGCTTTCCTCCTAAAAGGGATGCTGTATATAAACTCCTTCTAGAAATGTTTGTCACTTAGACACTGAACCTTAGGTTGCAGAATATTCACAATGGTGGCACTGAAGTCTGTCATCATGAGCTAGTGAACCTGCAGTAGGTTCAGTGGGAATCAGGAAGCACTCAGGAGCACTTCCAACACAAACCTGCAAACACTGCATATCTAGAACTAAACCAGAACCAGATGGTGAAAGGGAAGGATGGCCAAATGTTTATTTTTTACTAAATTTAGTTCAATTTCACTTTCCAATCTCTTCCCTTTGACTTTTCCTATGTTACCTTCTCATATTATCCACTCCCACTCTGCGTACGGAATCCTAATCAGGAACTTCCATTGGACCAAAGAGACTGTATATAGTTGCAGATATGTACAGGTTTAACTCTGACCAGAGACTGAAGGACCAAAACTAAACAGGAGATGGACTGATCATAGAGAATTGAGGGGGGGAAGGGCGAAAGGGAGGGAGGGAAAGAGAGGGGCTGCATCACAATTTGAGGCTTTTTGTTTTAAAATTCAGTCCTATAGAAGGTGTGCAGTACACCAAAACTCTTAGCAAGAGTTCTCTGTGCTCCTATATCCAATTTCCCCCTCATTTTCTCTTGAATTGATTACTCTATCCAAATTTTCATCCTCACCATTCCACAAAACCTGCTCTTGTCAGTCACTGTAGGGACCCCCAATCCACTAGAACCATTTGGGCCAGCTTTTCCCATGAAGCAGCCAGGTCTCTGTGTCCCTAGTACCCTCTACCTCTTGGGCTGCCTGCCCCCTTCCCAGGCATTCTTGCTGATTCTTCCTTATGTCACCTAACTTTTGGTGGGACAGCATTCAGTCCCTGGACCACTTCTTTTCTCCACCTCCCTCATTCATTGGCAGTCTTTTCCAGTCATGTCTTGGGCTATCTATACACTGGTGATTCTTAAATTTAAATTTCCAGACTGAGCCTTTTCCAAGGTTTTCTGTATAAACCACCACCTCCTCATTTCCACTTGCATGTCTAAGAATCTCAAAATATCATTTGTTCAAAATAACCTTTTAGCCAATGCCCCCACACCAAATCTGCTACCTCTCAAAGTTGTCTGCATCTCAGAAAACAGCAAATCTATTCTTCATTTCTTCCGGTGAAAACCTGGATAACAGCTTTCTCAAGCAATTTCCAATCAACATATTACAAAATCCCATCTTTCAAATGTATCCAGAACCAACCACTTCTTACCACCTCTCCTGCTACCACCTTGGTCCTGTGATTATCTGTTGTCACCCAGACCACTGACTGACCTCCTGGCCCTGTAACAGACTGTTCTCAATACAGCAGCCAAAGTGATTTTGTTAAAACAAGTCAGATGCCCAAAACTGCCCAGTGACTTTCCACCTCCTCAAGCTTGCCCTGACCTGGCCAGATGGTCACCTGCTGCCTGCTCGTTCCAGTCACACCTTTCCCAGGTATCATGCAGACTTAGGGTTTTTCCTGCTTGGAATGCTCTTCTCCCGAACAGCTACCTGATAAACTCTTATCACCTTCTCAGTGACACCATCCCTCTAAAACTGCAGCCCTGCCTCTTCTCCCAAACAGCTACCTGATAAACTCTATCACCTTCTCAGTGACACCTTCCCTCTAAAACTGCAGCCCTGCCTCTGGAAAAAAAAGAAAAGCCCAAATAATACCATAAATACATCCCCACTGCTGGTTTGTTCTTTTTTTCCTAGTATTTACTGTCATCTAAATATACCATTTGTGTGTGTGTGTTTTTAAAACTTTACCTTGTCAAAAAAAACAAAAACAAAAACAAAACTTTACCTTGTCTCTCTGACTGCCTCCCACCACCAGAATGGAATATAAGTTCCATGAGGGCAGGTATTTTGTGTTGTTTTATTTAGTTAATATTATTCCCAGTAGCAAGAATAGCACTGTTGAGCACAGTAGGGGCTCAACAAATTTTTGCCAACTCAATAATGGTGTATATCAAGGACAGCTGTAGGAATTAATGATTACAATCTAGCCAGTGCCACATAGTCATACTCACAGGTTATTCTAATTTTTGCCACACCACATTTTGGGACTTTGCCTTATTGAGGCAATAAATCTCAGAGTTCATTGCCCAGGAGAATTCCCTCCACATTTCCCACCTCGCAGAGGAACAGGAAACAGGAAAAAAAGCTACATTAGCTGATACTAATGTAGCTACATACACAGTTTTATATATCAGTTGTAACTCAACAAACACAAACTGAGCACTGATTTGCCTATACATCACAGTATCAGGCATGATTCTGAGTTTCTAAGTATTGGTAACCAACAACACTTAAATAAAGAAAACAAACATTAAAAAACTATCAATAGGAGCATTAAGACACTGTGATAAGAATTGAAGTGTCATATATGTTTAGGGAACGTGGGTTAAGGAGCAAGTATAATTAAGAAAATAGTTTAAATCATCATGAAAATTTTATTTAAGGTTAAATTATACTCACTATGGCTAGAAATTTGATAATTTATGAATTTTGTAAGTTTTAATGCTGAAAAACCCAGCAATTAAGCTTTAGCCATTAGTCAAAGTCTATAATAAATATAATAAATATTCTCTTTACAGAGAATACTAATGAGGATGACAATAAAACAATGTTATGTTTACTATAATCTATAATTCTAAATATTCTTATACAATATAAGTAAAAATAACATCTAGCTACCAAATTCTTTCTGTTTCTTTTCTGGAGATAAGCTTCATAGCCCCTCCTAAGAATCTGTTAACTGAGAAAAACAAGACTAATGGCTAAATTCCACATTTTTTAATGAGTTACCTCTTCAAAATATAGACCCACAGGTGTAGAAACTACTTAAAAAGATGTCATTATCTGAATTCAGAGAACAGTTTTTATAAAGACTATAAACTTCTAAAATGAAACCTACATTTTGCAAAACATACAAAATTAAGGTTTATCATATAAAACAAAGTCAAAGTTTATTGAACTTTACCACTTTACCAATTAAAAAGATGAACTATATTTCCTTCTATGTATTTTATGGTTTCAGGTCTTATGTCTAGTTCTTTAATCCATTTTGAGTTGATTTTTGTGTATGGTGTGAGGTAGTGGTCAAGCTTCATTCTTTTGCATGTAGCGACCCAGTTTTCCCAGCACCATTTATTGAACAAACTTTCTTTGCTCCAATGCATAGTCTTTGCTCCTTTGTCAAAGATCCAGCAATTCCACTCCTAGGTATTTACCCAAAGGACACAGAAACATCAATTCCAAAGAGCACCTGCACTCCTATGTTTATAGCAGCACTGTTTACAATAGCTAAGCTTTGGAAACAACCCAAATGCCCAAAAATAGATGACTGGATCAAGAAGATGTGGTACATATATACCATGGAATATTACTCAGCATTCAAAAAAGATAAACACATGCAATTTGCAGCAACATGGATGGCACTGGAAGGGATCATGCTCAGCGAAATAAGCCAAAAAGAAAAAGAAAAATACCGGATGGTCTCACTCATAGCAGGAATCTAGAAAACTTAAATAAGGGACCAGGAAAATGAATATAAGAAAGTGAAAATCAAAATCAACAAAAAAACTATGAACCAGAGACACTTTTTGGGGGGTGGGGGGGCGGGAGGGGAAGGATTGGGGTCAGAATGGGGCGTTTGCAATTGTATGGGGGAATATAAAAATAAAATTTAATATTTAAAAAAAAAAAAAAATAAAGCGCACGGGTGAGGACCCACAGCCAGGAACCCATTTAATATCGGGGTTGCTCTATAACACTTTCTTCATCTTTGTCTTCATTACTGAGATACATATTTAATCAAAGTAATATTGTAATCACTATAACTCTGATTCTTGATAGTTATGATTTATGTGAATCTAAAACATAATTAAAGCTTATGTAAAATTTCAAAAAAAAAAAAGATGAACTGTTATAAATATATTGATATCAATAAAATATGCATTTAATATATAAACAATACATAAGTAATATATATGTATATATGTATATATAGTATAACATATAAATAAAATGCTAAATTTCACTGACAAGTCAGATAATGTGTGGCTCTCTGAATATAGAAAATTAATATATTATCAAAAGAAATGTCAAAAAGGTAACTACCCTAGAAATTCATGTCTTATTCATCTGATCACATGTTATAAATGATTTACCTATTTTCAAGACATACTTCCTAAAAAATTTTATTTCCACTTAAAAAAAAATTAACTGTAGTCATCAGATTAAAATACAATATTTTAAGTCATAAAAGAACTATTGGTGCTAACATGGAGTTTTATGGTGAACCGAGCTGCTCATTGGTGAAGTGTAAGGAACAATTTATAACAGTTTACCTACCTTAAACAAGGCGTATGCTGTTAGTGCATTTCCACTCTGGGAATTTTTCAGGATGTTTACTACACTGTCAGGCAATCCAATGAGTTCTAGAAAAGGAATGACATTCATTCCTCTAAGAAAGAAACAGAAAGTAATTTATATATACACAAACTTTTGGAGGTAAATATTTTCAAAAGAATATCTGAAAACACCAAGTCCAAATTTTGTTTAAAAGTCAATTCTGGATTATCAAGTACTTATTTTCACTCTAAAAGAACAACATATACAAACATCACTGTGTTGTGCTGCCTTTACACTCTGCAACTTCTGCTTTGTTTTTACACACAGTTATCCCTAACTAGCAAATTTTGAAAAATAGAGGCATTTATCAGAGCAAAACTAACAGCTTTAAGTAACCTATGAGAAAAGAATAAGAATCATTTATGATTTTAGTTTTCCTCAACTAAACACCATTTCCTTACAACACTTCAACTCAATCTTCAAGACCTAACTAGCACTTTTTTTTCTTTAACCTCTAAGATGGCATGTCAAACTCTAGTATTGTAAAAAACAAGTGATGTAACACCACTTACTGCATTATTGTGCAAAGAATAAATGATTCTATGGGTTTAGTGAAAATGTTGATTATTCTAACAGGGCATTCTATTCTCAGAATTAAAGATAAGTGAAGAAGCAATTGCCATAAATTGCAAAAAATGTTTAGAGGTGGATGAAAAGATAGACAAAGTCTCTAAATTGAGTTATTAGTTATTTTTGTTCATTCTCTCTATCTTACTGTGCATAGTTTTGCAGACTCTGTAACTCTTCATCCTTAAATAAGAACAAGGCTATTGTTCTGTGCTTCTTCTTTACAAAATGTAATCATCACATTGAAAAAATTTAACATATACAATAGTACATAGTTAATAATATATTATGTAACATTGAAATTTTCTGAATTGTCCAGTATGCTCTTGTTGACATCTTGTCAAGTCTATCTCCTTATCTCTAGAAGTGCTCTTCCAGCCTACCATTTTTTGTTAAGGCCAGATTGTCTTTTTAGACTTTGAGATTTTTTGAACTCTTCAGGTCATCTGTGCAGTAGAATATCCCTCCACATGGATTCATCTGATTATTACTTCAATAATAGATTAAGGCTAAATATTTCTCAACAGGAAAACTGCACAGTTGATTCTGTGTTGGTGTCAGTGAATCACAACAGGGTTCATAAATGTCAGCTTTTTCCATTATTGGTGTCAGTGAGTTTGACTTGGTTGAAGCCAGTCCAAGGTTGCTCCATTGTACATGTAATCTTTCTCTTTGTAATTAGGAAAGAAACTTGCCTGAATCTATTATTATTGTGGTAACTGCAAACATCTAATTTATTTATAAATTCAAAAAATTAAATTTCTTAACTTAAAAATTATTAATATTAAACTAATATTAATACCTATTATCAAGAGATATGGCTGTTCAGCATCAAGTAAAATTACCTACTATCTAAAACAAGAGGAAACCGATAACTAAAGAAACCTTCACAAGGGTTAAATTAAAAAATCAACTACAAGTCCAACCTTGTTTCTTCCACCTTTAGTTCTTAAATCTCTTAGATAAGAAGATCATTCTATTAAAACAACACAGTGTTAATGAGGGTCTGATTCAAATAGTAATATCTACTTTTTACTGTAAAGCTTCCACAGCCTGACAAACTATGCTTCACAAACTTCCCTCATTTTGTCATTTTGACAATCAGTATTCCTGCCATTCTAGGTACCACAGAGCAAATGGTCATCCTTTCTTCAGTTAACTCAGTGGTAAAGACCTCACCTATTAATAAAATGTGAAAAACAGCTATGAAAAGTAGTCTTTATCAATTAAAGACATTAAAACAAAAAACTATCAAAACTTTTCATTAACACAATCAAGAAAATTTACATTCTGATAAAACAGAAAGATAACAAACAAGAAAAACTTACTTTATGGCTGCATAATAAAATGTTCCGAACCAAACACCCGAAGTTATTAGATGCACTGGAATCAAAACTTTTCCATACTGTCTAAATGTTTTTTTAAATCGCTGATAAAGACTAATAGATTTGTCTTGTAAAGGATCAGGCTCTTCCTTTTTTTCTGAAGCCGTTCCTGAAGATGTGGAATTGGTCGATATAACCCTCTTGGATAAAGTGTCTTGCACCCACTCTTTACAGTGAAGGACCCCTGGTAGGGATGGATGAGCATCATATGGTTTCCTTTCCTTTGTAACACATTGGACACCAGATACATGCAACCATTGTTTTTGAGAGCCCTGAACCAAAACTACTCTGGATTCAGCATTGTACAAAAATAACGGTCCCTTTATGTTTTGACAATGTCCAAAAAGACCAGCTTTATGTGGTTCCATGCATGTCCTATGTGCCAGGTGGAACACAGTCCTTGGCATATTCCATTGCATTTTGAAGAACGAAGATGGATGGATTTCGGCTTCTATAGAGACTAGAGTAAAAGACAGTTAAATTATACTTGGATTTCCATTTTAAGCAAATTCACTAAAAAAAACTCATTCACTCTTAGTAAGTAAAAGAACAAACACAGCTATTAGATCCACAAAAATTAATGTTAAGTTCTAGCATACCACAATTTTAAAATGTCATTAAAACACATCATTTTTTAAAAAGCGCAAACTTACTTTATTTTTCTCAAATATCACTATGTGATGCATGGTATGACATGGTATGTGTCATGGTAATTATTTGAAAATTAACATTATGACACTGTTTATATAGTTTTATTCATTTTCAAAGCTATCTTAGGTTGTTTCATAACATTAGAGAATGAAAAAACATCACTTAAATATGACATAGTAATTCAGCATAGCAGTCATCCAGGAAGGAAGTGTTTTGAGGTTATTTTACTAGTACAAAAGAGATATTTGTAGGGTTTCTGTTTTTCTACAAAGAAGCAGCGTATTACAATGGAAACATCATAAGGTCTCAATGCAAAAGACTTGGGGCCTCCCTGGTGGCACATGGGGTTGAGCGCAGCACTGTGAAGCTGTCCTTAGCCTCTGCAATGTGAGTTTGATCCCCGGCCAGGGAGCTACACACATGGTGCAGCAGACCTCTCCTGACTCGCCCGCTGCTCCCTTCAGCAGTGTACTTTGGCTATCTGCCTGTTCTGCTCCCCGCTCTGTCTGGTGAACCCTCTCACCTCCCACACCTCTGGCCTATACCCCAGTTCTTATAAACATAAATAAATCTTTAAAAATAAATAAATGCAAAAGACTTGGGTTCTTATGTTTTGAGGAATTAATTCTATTGCCTTTCAGACCCCAAGCTCAAGTTCATTAGTAAAATGAGAAATACTTTATAGGGTTGCTACAGTAATTACATGCAATTTCTAATGTAAAAGTGCTTTTGTACAGTAACAAGTATCACATAACTGTCAGATTTCACCACTGATAAAACAGAATTATAGTCTGCATTACTATATAGTAAATCAGTTTCCTACTTTCAACATCAGGCAGTATCACCTGAACCTCAATCTTTATTCCCACCTTGAACTAGCTACCTTACTACTTCTAGTTCACTGAATATAGGTGATCTTATTTTTAAAATTTTAAACTAAAGAGTCAACGAGATTTGACTTAGCATCCAGTACAATAGCTCTCCAACAAATACAGATATTCCATTTTACATGAATATTCATTATCTGGAGTACAAAGCTGACCATCAAATAAAAATATCCACCAATAAATTGTTCACCTATAAAGTTAATCCCCTGACTTCTCCCTTGCTAATAATTAATATCAGTTCCTATCAGGTTCTCACAGATAATTCAACAGCACAGTACAAATCAGCTGCAAAATGAAGCCACCAGTCTTGCAAAACAAATAGGACCCAGTAACCTTTAAAAGTCACACTAAAGACTGCTTGCCAACAAAAGTAAAGCCAGTGCAACAATTCAAAGAAACAGACCAGGTAACAACCAAAGAGAAAAAGCTACAGAGATAATGACAGGCATCCAAATAAAGAATGATTACAATATTAAATGCCTAAGAAAGGTCATAGAGAAAAATTAAGTTCTTAGTTAATTTTACAAAACTAATGTATTAGTTGTGAAAGTAGAGCATTATGTAAAGGCTATCCAATTGTGCTTTCCTACAATTTATAAATCTATTGTATCTTTATAAATCTATGATGTGCTCCCTTTTGTGGGGAGCGGGGAGGGTAAGACAACACAAATGGTTGTTTAAACTAAAAACCAGCTAAGTTGGAACCATAACCTAAAATTTGTCAAAGACAAAGTTTAGCTTAATTTTTCACAAAGAGGTTTCTTTTGTTTTGATTCTTTTACTATTAATTTTTGGTCTCTATTTTAATTGGATTTATTTTGAGGCTTTTTTCCAACACCATTATCTGTGAGTTAAAAAATAATTCCTGTCTGCGATTTTAACGCAAGTGTTTTCTGAACTCAAAAGCTTTAGTTTTTTCTTTTAAATCTATCTCCTATAGGGGCCTTCCTGTTTGTGCAAGGGGTTAAGATTCAGAACTATGAAGCTATCAGCAGCCACTGCAGCAGGAGTTCTAGCTGACCCACATGCACAACAGACCTCTCCTGTCTTGCCCACTGCTCCCCTCAGCACTGCATTTCAGTCAGTCCACCTGTTCTAATTCCCAACTCTGTCTTTGGTGAATCCTCTCACCTCTTCGTACCTCTGGCTCTTGTATTCATAAATAAATCTTTAAAAAAAAAATCTATCTCCTATAAAGGGCAGTTTCTAGGAGTTGAAGTTCCCAGAGATCTAACTTTCAGATCATTAGATTATGTGTTTGTGTGTGAGAATAAAAGCATTTTTTAAAGAAAATTTCTTTTTAAGTTTCCAATTTGCACCCTTGTCTCAGCTTCTCTACTTAATACTGCCCAATTTTTAAAAAATATTTTCATCCTCCCATTTCTTAATGCCTCTTAAGAAAACATCTTTATTGAGATATAATTCACACAATATTCAATTCACTCATTTAAGGTATAGAATTTGATGATTTTTTTTAAAGATTTGTTTATTCATTTATACTAGTACTGGTTACAGCCAGAAGCGTGGGAGGATAAGAGAATTCACCAGAGTCAGAGTGGGGAACAGAACAGGCAGACTGACAAAATACACTGCTGAAGGGAGCAGCGGGCGCAGGAGAGGTCTGCATGTCCTGTGGGACCCTCGCCAGCAGCCGGGGATCGAACCAGCACTGCAGAGGCTGCGGGCAGCTTCGCAGCCCAGCGCTCAATCCCTGCACCACCAGGAGAGGCCCGAATTTGATGATTTTTAGAATATTCACAATTGTGTAACCATCACTACAATTCTAAGTTTAGAACATTTTTATCACTCCCAAAAGAAACATATATCACTAGCACTCACAATTCCCTCATTCACAATTAACCTAAATTCTGTTTCTTTATATTTGTCTGTTCTGGACATCTCATGTAAGTGGAATTAGTCTGCGACCAGCTTCTTTTATTTAGCATAATATTTCAATATCTGAAAATACAAATTCCTTGTCTCCATCTAGAACTAATAAATCAAAAACTCAAGCAGATAGGTCACAGCTGACAATATGGATTTGGAGATCACTTCTCTAGACTTAGCAAATGGTTTCAGGGCTGGAGGCAGCCTGGTGGCAAAGATATCTTCTATCATCATCAAAACATCAGCATCACAATAATCACAATGATGTTTTTAGTCCCTACTATATGGGTAAGTGCTTTGTTAAACTAAAGAACAGATGCTAAACCTCATAGGCAAAAGGTTGAGAAATGATTGTGATGACTGCTTTGTAAACACTTCGGGTGTATTAATTCATCTTATTTTCCTAGCAATCTCATGTAGGAGGGTTATTACGACCATTTTATATTTGAGGACACTGAAGCACAAAGAGAAATATCATGCCCAATGTCATTCAACTGGTGAGTGAAGAGCTGAGATTCAAATCTAGTTTGATCCCAGGCCCATGCTGGGTCACTCATCTATTGATATATAGCCACTTCTAGAAAGAAGAAACACCACCAATTTTCAGTAGACTTAAAGCACACAAGGCCCAAATGGGCCCAAAATAAGAGTCTTACATTTTAAAGTAAAAAATAACTGGCAACACATGGATAATGGCAGCTGTGGGCTCCCAAAGTTCATCATAATACTGATGTTATACATAGTAAGACTCATTAGATTTCAAGGAATAAACTTATTTTAGATGAGTGCAAGTTGAAAGGAGTGGGGTACAAACTGAGTAGTAGCACAAGTATTGTGAAATAAATAGGCTTTAGGAATAACAGAAAACCAAGTCAAGGTAGAATTATCTTGTCTCACAGCAAGCACCTAAGTATAATGGCCTCAGCTCCCCAATCAGCTTCCATTTCTCTATTTTACTAATCTGCTAATCTTAACAAGTAAAGATAAAAGGTTTTGGGTACTGATTAATGACTGAGTTGCCACGCCTCATAAACCCTACCCAGATCAAATCAAATGTATCTAGACAGGATGAGTAAACCTGAAGAAGTTGTGAACTCACAGGCCATTAACATGTCTCTCATACAAATGGAAAATATGCAGTGACAGAAAGTTTATCTTGATTTTTCCCTCCTCAATGAAATACAATAATTTCTATAACTAGTTTTTTATATTACACCAGTCACCTGCTATTTTTCTGTCCCAAAAGTATGAAATTTTCATATCCATAGATGAGGTAATATTTAAATTGCTTATTATTTCAGTTACAAATGATAAAATGCATCACTGGGCACAAGTCAGATAAAAGGACTACACAGCTGTTGTGGCTATGCTTTTATACATTAGAATTAAGTTATAACCTTTTAGCACTGTATGGACCTGGCAAATGATTAATGATGGCTGATTCTCTGTATATAACCCTTCCCACTATGGCAGGGACATAATGAATAACTTCAGTAAAATCAAATTCTGTCATGACTTAATTTTCATGGACAGGTAGTGCAGTTTAATAACAGAGAGCTTGAAATCTGGGTGGTCAGACTGCGGGGTTACAGTTCAGAAAACAGTATATATGAACTCTGTAACCTTTGAAAATTAGCCTTCCTGTACCTTGCTTTCTAATTGGTAAAACGGAGTTAATAAAGCACCTACTTCAGAGGGCTGTTGTGAGGATAAGATAAATATAGGTAAAATTTCTACCACATAGCAAATCTTCAGAAAATGTTATTATTATGAGAAAGCATGGTAGTCTGTTGCCCTTATTCCCAGTAAAACAGCCTGAACATCAGGTAATGAACCAAAGGGAGATTCTATAGGACAAACAGTTGCCTTGGATGGGTCTAGCACAACTCCTGAAAAAAATCTACGAAATTGTTACTGAAAGAGTGAAAGAGGGCCTCCCAGGTGACGCAGCGGTTGAGCGCTGGGTTGCAAAGCTGCCCGAGGCCTCTGCGGAGCCGGTTCGATCCCCGGCTGCTCCCCAGCCACCAGAGGAGGGTCTCACATGGCGCGCAGACCTCTCCTGCCGCCCGCTGCTCCCCTCAGCAGTGTACTTCGGTCCTTCTGCCTGCTCTGCTCCCCGCTCTGGCTCTGGTGAATTCTCTCACCCTCCCGTGCTTCTGACTGTACCCAGTGCATGTATAAACAAACAAACAAACAAACAAATAAATAACATGCCTCTATTAAAAAAAAAAGAGTGAAAGAAAATTCCTACTGCTTGTTAGAGACATCACTGTTCTGGGAAATTGCTGAGTTGGCAGCTACAAAGGTGTAAAGTCAGCAAAAAAGAAGGAAAACTAACCAAAAAGCTTTGCTGTGAAGATGCTGTGCCACCATAACACACACCAAGGTGACCCCCACACCTCACAGTGCCTTGTTACTTTGTGAGAAGCTGGAAGAAGGAACTAGAGATAAGGTATGGAGCCTGGCCTTCACATATGCAGAAGCACACTCTAGGATAGAAAGGAATCTTCATAAAACTCAGTTCTCATGCTACTCCCATTATAACCCGACTAAGAGATGGTTTTTGATGTTACATATAACATCAAAACAGGGTGCCTTTTTCATTAAACAGAATGTAGCCAGAGGTCTCCTTTATCTCTGCTAAGAATTATGTATCTCCTTCGTGCCCATAGTTCACCTGCAAACTGTACACAACAGACCTAAACACCTGGAGGGCAGGACCAGCACTCAAGAGACATCTGATGCTGCCTCCTTAGATTTAAATCCTCAGTTTGCTCTGAATAACCTCTTTAATAAATTTCTCTCTGAATTGCATCAGAAAACTGGTTATATCAGTTGACATATCTAATCAATCCAATAATATCCAGTCTCTTAGAGATAGACCATGGTCAAGGCATGAAGTAGTAGTAATACACGTGTATGAAAGTTAGGAGTCTCAAGTAGCAGTCCTGAGTTGCAAAAGTAGGATGAGAACAGAGTGGTCAATTAATAGTAAAGGAACAAGAAAACAGTGGGAACCAAAAAAAAAAAAAAAGAGAAGTTGAGTTAAAGGAATGGAGGGAAAGGTAGAAGGGACAGGAACAAAAGCAGTAAGAAGGCAGCACATTCATTCAAGCGTTGCTCTAGAGCAGCTATGTCCTAAAATTCCAGCTTCGTTAAGCCAAATGAGTCCATTCATACGATTCCTTTCTTCCCCCTATATCCTTACCAAATATGTATTGCTAAAGATTATATGAGAATGTCTGTTCCTCACAACAAGGAAGTCTAAGTTACTCCAGCACTTGGGACTACAACGGAGTGCAATTGAGTATGATTAACTTATACTCTATTATTATGTAAGAAATAAAAACCCGTAGGCTAAATAGAGAGTTAGAACAACAAATTACAAAGAACAAGGTTTGGTTCTCTGTTGGATGAATTCAAAGTTTTACTAATGGGGTCTCCATGGTGGCGCAAGGGTTAAATTCTCAGCACTATCAAGCTATCTGGCCTGAGTTCCATCCCAGGCCAGGGAGCTAACCCACGTGGTATAGCATACCTCGCCTATCTTGCCTGCTGCTCCCCTTAGCAGTGTATTTCAGTCAGTCCCCCTGTTCTGCTTCCCACTCTGTCTCTGGTGAATCCTCTCACCCCCTGCACTGCTGGCCTACACCCAAGTTCTTGTATGCATAAATAAATAAAATAAATCTTAAAAAAGCCAAAGTTTAACTAGCAGTAAATACTATTTTGTCAAACAAAATCTTATTTGGAAGTCCAACACAGAAAATAAATGAAAGCAAAGTTGCTCAAGTTAAAATAAGAGTCCCCAACTCCCTCCAATTCCTGTGGCACAGTCACAGAAGCCCTAACCATGAAAACAAAATCAAAACATAGACAAATTCTTTGTAGATAATGATCCTTCTTCATCTAACTGCTGTTTTTCTGCAAGTCACAACTCAGGCACTAATTCCTTCTGAAGCCAGTGAGCCACACAAGCTACATAGGCAATGCCACTAAAAATATATCAAATATATCAAATATATTTATAAAAATATAAAAAGAATCTTCTTTTTCTTTGTCTATGTGAACTCTATGGTCACGGAGGGCAGTTTGTCCTTACGAACATAGTGCAAAAATATGTGCTCAATAAAATTCAGTTCTGTGGACATCAACAACTAGTCACTTTTGAAAACATTCAAATTAATTCCAATAGATATGAAATTGATATGCCATCTTCAGTGTGGGAAGTTTTAGGAACTTAATATACTCTAACAGAAAAGAAGAATGTTTTCAATAACCTCATGGTGGACACAGACTTCACACTATCAAAGACAGAATCAATGAATGCCTGAAAGGAATTCAATAGAAACTTCTCAAACTGAAATGCAAAGAGGGGAAACCGGCCCCCAAACCCTTCCCCCCCACCCCGACACAAAACAAAACAAAACAAGAGGACAAAATATTTATGCTCTATGGGATAATTTTTAAAGGTATACATACACATAACAGGAATGCCAGAAGGAGAATAACTGAATAACAGTTAAACAATTTCCAAAATTATAAACATGAAGCCACATGACTAAGAAGCTCAAAGAACACCAAGAAGAATAAAAATCTTAAGTCCATATCTAGGCATATCACATTTAAGCTGCAAAATACCTAAGACAATGAAAATCTTGAATAAAACCAGAAGAGGAAAAGATGCTTTATCTACAGGACAAGAAGAGTAAGATTAGCATTGGCTTCTCACCAGAATCTAGACAAAGAAGAGTAATGTATTTAAAATGTTTAAAGAACCACCAAGCAAGGATTTTATATCCAGCAATCTCATCCATCAAAAGTGGAAGAAAAATAGGGGCCTCCCTGGTGGTGCAAGGGATTAAGTCTCAGCACTATGAAGCTATCGGCAGTCACTGCCACACAAATTTGATCCCTGGCTAGGGAGCTATTGCACATGATGCAGCAGAACTCTCCTGTCTCGCCCACTGCTCCCCTCAGCAGTGTATCTGTCAATCGCCTGTTCTGTTCCCTACTCTGTCTCTGGTGAATCCTCTCACCCCCTGCACCTCTGGCCCATACCCCAGCTCTTGTATGCACAAATAAAAAAATAAATATTTGGGAAAAAAGGGAAGAAAATAATGACTATTAGAATGGGAGAAGATAGTCACAATTACACACCTGATAAGGGTTGATATCCAACATATATAAAGAACTCATACAGCTCAACAACAAAAAAGACCAACCCAGTTAAAAAATGGGCAGAGGGGCTAAACACACCCTCCCAAGACATACAAATGGCCAATAAACATGTCTAACATGACCTATTACTAAAGAAATGTAAATCAAAACCACAATGAGGTGCTACCTCACATCTGAGAATTGCTTTATCAAAAAGAGATGACAAAAGGGAACCTTCATGCACTGTGGGGGCAAAATGTAAATTGATACTGCCACTGTGGAAAACATTAAAGGGACTCCCCCCAAAAAATTAACATTGGAAATACCATATGATACAGCAATTCCACTTCTGGGTTTTTATCTCAAGAATACGAAAAAAATGTGTTTGAAAAGATATATGCACCACTATGATCACCGCATTACTTACAATAGCCAAGATATGGAAACAATTTAAGTGCCCATCAATAGATGAATGGATATATAAGATTTTAAGGAAAATGAGTTAAAATCAGGCTTTTTGCCTCCCACACAACAGACAGTCCATGCCTTGAAATGCTCTTTTCCTCCATTTTGAAAGCTAAAAAACAGATGGGCCATACATTTGCAACAATGTATCAGATACAGGCTTAAGGGCACTTAACAGTATGTAAAAGGGGGTAGACAGCTGAGTTGCTATTTTGCTGTGTCAGAATTGGACTCTCTCTTTACCTGCCTGTGTGTATGATCAAATTTGAGCATTAAAGGCTTGAAAAATCCACCGAAGGCTCCAAATTCTCTTTCATCTATGAGAATTGATAATGAACCTACCCGGCCTGGGATGGTTGCACCAGTGGTGTAGACGGCTGGACAGTCCCATGCAGATGGATATGGAGCCCTCTAAGACCTGGGGAAGAATTGAGGGGTAGCCAGCCACAAGTAGATGGTACCCAGTGGTTAGCCTCCTTTCCCAATGGGCACCTCACCATGAATGGCCAGAGGTAGATGGATCCCTGTGGCAGTTGGAACCGGTCCTGTGCAGAATAGAAGAGACCTTGGACAGATATAGTGTCCTCAAGGTGCAGGACAGTGGGATGGGTATTTCTCACAGCTCTAAGAGTCTTTGTTGAGAAAAGAATCCAAGGTCTGGCAACTGGTAGTGTTACAGGGTTACGTGACTGTGGGTCCTCACCCGCGCTTGAAAGAGACTTATTTAATGCAAAACTGCAGGCACACATCAAAGTGAGACACAGGCCTTGCAAAAATGTTTGAGGTTTCTGGAGGAAGAGATCCAGAGAGACCAACCTACCACTTCAGAGACACCAGAGTCCTCCTTTGGAGAGGAGGCGGCTGGCCCCAAGCTCCAGGCTCACCCAGTGGTGACAAATAAGATAAATCACCAGCAGCTCATAGCCCCAGGAAGTCAGGCTACAGGGCCACCAGATGATGGAGTTTACCCAAAAAGGCAAGTAAACCTCTTAAGATCAGAGAGCCTCTTAAAGTTACCCATGCCCAAATGTGAGTGGCTCTACTGAGAGCAGGTGCAAATCGTGCCAAAATAGATGCACAACCCAATGCATATTTGTTAAAAGTTATGGAAACAATTGCAAGAGGACCCTCAGAGGTTCACTTCCATGAGAAGATGGGCTGCTGTGAAGGGAAAAACTGGGCACTCCAGTCCCCAGGCATGTGCCCTACAACTGACACCTGCTGCTGACCCTGGTCCAAGAGGTTTTGGCCATAGCAGATACAAGGTAGAGTATACTCCGTTATATGGGAACCCACAGAAATTTCAGGGGCCTGCTTGTTACAGTGACAGCAAAGGAGGCCAGAGTGTCAAGGTGACCACAGTGAGAGTATCCCTGGGGATTGGGTGATTACCCCCAATGGAATACAAAGTATGTGTTGCCAATCCCAGAGTATGTCCTAGGGGTGGATGTATAAAGTGGCTAGTGGCTGCACACCACAGCCAGAGAGTTTCACCTTAGGGTACGTGTGATAAAGGCAGTGTTGCGTGGACATGCTGAGCATCCATTCATATTGTTAGGGGGGAAGGATGTCCTGAACAAACAAACTCTATACAGGCTTTGTGGACTCCACACCCACTCCATCAAGACACTGGGGACTACAAATCCCATGATCACCAAAGGGAAGGTTGCGAGGACCTGAGGGCAAAGTTAAGCAACTATGTTCTCTGAGTATTTAACAGGCCATGTGGCCACAGGGCACACTTGGTTTTTCACCAACTTATCTCCCTCTTTTTCTCCCTGAGTTATTCATTTTCCATTTCCCCTTCCCTTGTAAATAAACCTTTTATCAACCTTTTGTGTGTGTCTGCAGTTTAGTTTAGCATCAATAAGTCCCCTTTAAGTGTGTGGGTGAGGACCCACAGTCAGGCAACCGTTTTATATTGGGGTTGCTCTGTAACAATACAACTGCCAGTCCTTAGGTGAGTGACCAAAACTAAACAGTATCGGTTGCCAGGTGGCCACAAAGTGATTATGGGCACAATAGCAGAGTTGGAAAATGTGGGTATTATACATGTTATCCACAGCCGCTATAATTCGCCCATGTAGCCAGTGAAGAAGCCTGATGACTCTTGGTGTATGCCAGTGGATTACTGTGAGTTGAATAAAGTGGATGCCAACTTGCGTGCAGCAGTGTCTTCAGTGGCATACTTAATGCATTGTATGAGGCACAAGCTGGGCAGGTATCACTGTGTAGTTGACCTAGCTAATGCTTTCTTTTCCTTTGCCCTAGCACCAGAGTGTCAAGACCAGTTTGCCCTCATGTGAGAAGGCAGGGATACCTGTATAGTCCTACTCTGTGCATGGGCTGGTGATAGCAGATTTGGTTGGGTGGGAGAGACCATCATCAGTGTGCTTCTACCATTATAATGATGACATTTTACTGACCAATGACACTTGTAGATTTGGAAAAGCTGTCTTTCTCCATTGGACACATCTGAAAACAAGTGGATTGGGGTTAGTTGTATTCTGTTGTATTCAGTTGCATTCTGTTGCAGTTTTTATTGTTTTCCCAAGTTATGAGTACAGTGTCCTATATTCCTCACCAAGAGAACCTTGCAAAAGATTGACACAGATTATAATGTGAAAAAAATCCCTGATGGGGTGGAGGATAAAGAAAGTGAATTAAAATCAGGCTATTTTTCACCTCTCACACAACAGATAATACATACCTTGAAATGCTGTTTTCCACCACTCTGACATCAAAAAAACAACAGACGGGCCTTACATTTGCAATAATATATCAGTTACATGGCTATGGGCACTGAATAATATAAAGGGGGCTAGGCAGTAAAGTGTCTACTCTGGCTCTCTGAGTTGGGATCTCTGACTGCCTGTGTGTGTGTGTGTGTGTGTGTGTGTGTGTATATATACATATATGTATATATACTATATATGTATATATATATATGGTCCCCTGTTTCAGCAGCAAAGATCTGCAAAATCCACTGAAAGCTCAAATTCTGTTTCTGTCTGTGAGAACTGACAATGAACCTACATGGCCTAGGATGGTTGCATAGCAAAGATGTAGAGTACACACACACATATACAAATACTATTCAACACAAAAGAAGATGAAACCATGCTATTTGCAACAACATAGATATACCTAGAGGGTATTATGCTAAGTGAAATAAGTCAGAGAAACACAATGTGTGATTTCACTCATGTGGGGAAAAAAAAAAACAAGTTAAAAAAAAAAAAACAAACTCTTAGATTTTAAGAATTTTAAGAATATAATGTATAATACATTATATATTATATTCTTAAAACAGAGGGGTGAGGGGAGAAGGGGTGGGTAAATAGAATAAAGGGAGTCACTGGTGCAGTGGTGGGTAGACCCTTGACTTTTGGTGGTGATCATAGTGCACTATATGTAGATATTGAATTATAATACTATACTCCTGATATTTACATAAGGTTATAAACCAATGCTACTTCACTGAAAATTAAAATTAAAAAGGCATTTATCAAAGAAACAAAAAAATTTAGGGATTCCTAGAAAGACAATATAGAAAATAAATTCTACATAATGAAGGAAGAATATAGGGTAGAAATCTGTAAAAGCATTGCAAACATTTCTATAAGCTGGTCTCATCTAGCTGTGTTGGTTATAAACCAATGCTACCTCACTGAAAATTAAAATTAAAAAACATTCATCAAAAAACCAAAAAAATTTAGGGAACTCAGGAGAAAGTTAGAGATACATAAAAAAGGAAAGAACACCAGAGAAGAAATCAGTAAAGGCAGAGTTAAATCTATTTCTATTCTGGGCCTCCCCTGGTGGCGCAGTGGTTGAGTGCTGGGCTGAGAGCCCGCAGCCTCTGCAGCACCTGTTCATTCCCCCACCACCAGTAAGGGTCCCACCAAAAAAAAAAAAAAAAAAAAAACTATTTCTATTCTTAGTTAATTTAAAAATAACTTTAAAGTACAATGGTAACAATGTATTAAGTGAGTAATAACACATGAATAAGTGAAACAGTTTTGTTACAAAAACAGGAGAGGGGGCACTGTAACCTACGAAGTACTTAAAAGTACACATTAAGCTGAGGAGTATTATTCAAAGGTAGAATTGAATTAGATAAAAATGTACATATTATGTACACCAGGGAAACACTAAAATGTGTACTTAAAAACTGTAAATGACACACTGAAAGGGGAATAAAATCAAATCACACAAAATGCTCAGTTAAAACCATAGAAGGCAGGAAAACACCAGGGAAAGGCAAATGGCAATGAGAAGAAAATTTATTTGAAAACATTTACAAACATGATGGATATTAATGCAACAATGTAAAAACTTTGAAAGTGAATGGTATAAATGAGTCAACTGAAAGAAAGGTGGTAAGAATGGATTAAACAAACAGGGCCAACTATATGTTGTCTAAAAAGCACTCTCTTTAAATATCGACTCGGATAAATTACAAGTCAAGGGACAGAGACAGACATACCACATTAACACTATTTTTCACAAAGGCTGGAATAGTTCTATTCGTATCAGGCAGAGGATAACAGAAAATCTTCAACTGCTAGCGAACAAGAGGGTAATTTCACAATAACGTTATGATGTATCTCTATGTTTCTATCTTTATCTCTTGTCACAGAATCTAAGCAAAACGCAACAATCCTAAAAACCTAAAAGAGAGGATCAAATATATGAGATAAAAACTGACAGCACTGAAAGGAGAAACTGACGTGTCCCCTATAATTGCAGACATCAACATCTCTCTGTTGAGTACTTAGATCCAGCAGACAGAAAATCAGTAAGCTGTACTGGAGCTAAACACCACCATTAGTCAACCTGAACTAATTGATATTGACAGAATACTCCAACTACACCATCTAATCAAGTTTACACAACACACAACAAAATCGATCATGTTCTTAGACATAAAATACACCTAAAGAAATTTAAAGGAATAGAAATCATGTAAATGCTGTTCTCAGAGAGCGAAGGAATTAAACTAGAAACCATTAACATCGACAAAAAGATAGCTGGAAAACTCTTAAGTACCTGGCCCTGAACAAACTTCTAATTATTCCACAAGGCCAACAAGTCTAAAAAGACATTTTGAAATATTTTGAGTAAAAAAAAGTGAAAGTGGGAAGCAGCACTTATCAAAATCTGTGGAAGCAGCAAAGCAGCCTTTGCAGGGAAACTTCTAAATGTGTGAATTTCTAGAAAAGAAAAAATGATCTACACTGAATAAGCTAAGTTTCCACCTTAAGAAATCAGAGAAACAATAGCAATATAAACCTAAAGCAAGTAGAAAGGGGAAAAAAGTGTCAGAGCAAAAAATCAATGAAACTGAAAGGGAAAGAATTTAAGATTATAACACCAACAAAATCTGGTTCTTTGGGGGGAAAAAATCAGCATATATGATAAATCTCTACAAAGAGAGAAAACACAAATCACCAATATCAAAAATGACAGAGGAGGCATAACTACAGATCTCATACACTTAATATCTGGAACAACAGGAACTCTCATTCACTCCTAGTGGAAATACAAGAGGGAACTATCACTTTGGATGACAGTATGATTTACCTTGAAGTGTACTCATCAGTTGAAATACAATGAAAGGGGTAAGTGAAGAAAAGGCTTGCCTCTAGATATACGCACTGTAAATTATCAGCAAATAGGAGGAAATTCATACTTTCTTCTTCTAATAGATCAGTATTTCCACTTAATCATTTCAAATTTAGTTTGTTGCTTAGAAAAAAAAATAAAGGCATGCAATTTCTTTGTAATTCCCT